ACCAAAATCACCCAAAATCCAACAAAACCCACCCAAAGTTCAACAAAATTCCCCCAAAATCTGACAAAATCCACACAAAATCCAACAAAATTCACCCAAAATACACCCAAAATTCAACAAAATTCACCCAAAATCTGATAAAATTCACCCAAAATCCAACAAGATTCATACAAAATCCTACAAAATTCACCCCAAATCCACCTGGCTGCAGTAGCGGCCGTAGAGGAGGAACCTGGGTGGACACCAAAATCACCCAAAATCCAACAAAATCCACCCAAAGTTCAACAAAATTCACCCAAAATCTGACAAAATTAATCCAAAATCCAACAAAATTCACCCAAAATCTGATAAAATTCACCCAAAATCCAACAAGATTCATACAAAATCCTACAAAATTCACCCCAAATCCACCTGGCTGCAGTAGCGGCCGTAGAGGAGGAACCTGGGGTGGACACCAAAATCCACCCAAAATCTGCCAAAATTCACCCAAAGTTCAACAAAATTCACCCAAAATCTGACAAAATTAATCCAAAATCCAACAAAATTCACCCAAAATTCACCCTAAATCCACCCAAAATCCTCCTGGCTGCAGTAGCGGCCATAGAGGAGGAACCTTAGGTGGACACCAAAATCACCCAAAATCCACCCAAAATCTGATAAAATTCACGCAAAATTCACTCAAAATTCACCCAAAATCCACCAAAATTCACCCAAAAATAAAAAAACTCAAGGAAAATCACCCCAAATCCACCCAAATCCCCCAATCCCCTCCCTCAGGGGCATCCAAATCCCTTCCCCAAATCCCCTCAGGACCCTCCCCTGCCAAGACCACCCAAATTCCCCCACAAGATCCCCCAAATTATCCTCAGAACCCCCAAACCCCCCAGATCCCCCCAAAGGGGGGACTGGGAAAGCTGGGAGGGCACTGGAAGCACTGGGAAGGGGCACTGGGAGCACTGGGAGGGCTCAGGAGGGTGACTGGGAGCACTGGGATGAGGCACTGGGAGCACTGGGAGCACTGGGAGCACTGGGATGGGTTACTGGGAGCACCGGGATGGGTTACTGGGAGCGCTGGGGGGTACTGGGAGTGCTGGGGAGGGGATGACCCCATGTCCCCGTGTCACTGTCACCTCCACATTACTGCTGTCACTGGTGTCACTGATGTCACTGGTCAGTGTCCCCATTGTCACTGTCACCTCCACGTTGATGAAGATGCTCTCCATGTCCCCATGTCCCTGTGTCCCCTGTCCCCATGTCCTCATGTCCCTCTGTCACTGTCACCTCCACATTGATGAAGACGCTCTCCATGTCCCCGTGTCCCGGTGTCCCCTGTCCCCTGTCCCTGTGTCACTGTCCCCCTGTCACTGTCCCCTCCACATTGATGAAGACGCTCTCCATGTCCCCGTGTCCCCTGTCCCCTGTCCCCTGTGCCCTGTGCCCGTGTCACTGTCACCTCCACGTTGATGAAGATGCTCTCCATGTCCCGGGCGCTCAGGAAGTGCCGCAGTGGCCGCAGGAAGTGCTGGGGACATCGGGGGACACCGGGTGACACCGGGGGACACCGCGCCTTACTGGGAGCACTGGGAGGCCCCGTACCCAATGTCCCCAACACCCCCAGTGTCCCCAATGTCCCCAGTGTCCCCAGCTGGCAGATGGACTCCAGGGTCTCCATGTACCCAATGTCCCCAATGTCCCCAGTGTCCCCAAGTGTCCCCGCTGTCCCCACCTGGCAGATGGACTCCAGGGTCTCCGTGTACCTCTCCTCCGTCTGCCGCAGCTCCTGGAGGCAGCAGAGCCGCCGGTCCACCCCTCCCTTCTGTGGGGACATGGGGACACAGGGGACAATCAGAGGGGACAATCATCTCCACCCCCACTTCTGTGGGGACAAGGGGACAGTCAGAGGGGACAATCAGAGGGGACAATCAGCTCCACCCCCCCTTCTGTGGGGACAAGGGGACACAGGGGACAATCAGAGGGGACAATCAGAGGGGACAATCAGGAACACCCCCGTCTGTGGGGACAGACAGGACAATCACGGTGATGGCCGGGGGGGACACACAGGTGTCCATGGAGGTGACGCAGGTGTGTCTGGAGGGTGGTCCCAGGTGCTCCATGTCCCCATCAGCCTCCACATTGATGAAGACGCTCTCCATGTCCCCGTGTCCCGTGTTTTTGGGAAGGTTCCAGGTGTTTTTGGGGACTCCCAGGTGTTTTTTGGAAGGTTCCAGGTGTTTTGGGGGACTCCCAGGTGTTCCTGGAGGTTCCCAGGTGGTTTTGGAGACTCCCAGGTGTTTTTGGGAAGGGCCCAGGTGTTTTTGGGAAGGTTCCAGGTGTTTTTGGGGACTCCCAGGTGTTTTTTGGAGGTTCCCACGTGGTTTTGGGGACTCCCAGATGGTTTTGGGGTGGTTCCAGGTGTTTTTGGAGGTTCCTGGGTGGTTTTGGGAAGGTCCCACGTGGTTTTGGGGGTTCCCAGGTTGTTTTGGTGTGGTTACAGGTGTTTTTTGGGGACTCCCAGCTGTTTTGGAGGTTCCCAGGTTTTTTGGGGGGTGCCCCAGGTAGTTTTGGGGTGCCCCAGGTGATTTTGGGAGTTCTCAGGTATTTTTGGGGTGTCCCAGGTGTTTTTTGGGGTTCGCAGGTGGTTTTGGGGGTTCTCAGGTGGTTTTGGGGTGTCCCAGGTGTTTTTGGGGTGGTTCCAAGTGTTTTGGATTCACCCAGATCTTTGGGGGTTCCCAGGTGTTTTTTGGGGTTTCCCAGGTGTTTCTGGGTGTTCCCAGCTGCTTTTGGGGACTCCCAGGTATTTTTGAGGGTTCCCAGCTGTTTTTTGGAGATTTCCAGGTGTTTTTGGGCATTCCCAGCTCTTTTGGGAGGTTCCCAGCTGGTTTTGGGTGTTTCCAGCTGTTTTTTGGGGTTCCCGGCTGGTTTTTGGAAGGTCCCAGGTATTTTTGGGCATTCCCAGATATTTTTGGGGGGTCTCAGCTGTTTTTGGGGGTTCCCAGCTGTTTTTTTGGGGGGGGTCACACCCACCGTGGCCGGGGGGGGCTCGACCCTCATCAGGTCCTCGTAGACGTCATCGCCGTCGTCCCCTTCGGCCTCCACGCAGTCGTAGAGGTCATCGTCCTCCTCGGCCGTGTCACTGCGGGCGTGGTGACACTTGGGGACACTTGGGGACCCCCCCCCCCCGGAGCCCCCCAAAATCCCTCGGGGTCCCCTGATTGTCCCCAGATCCCTCGGGGGTCCTTTAATGTCCCCAAAGACCCCCAGTACCACCCACAGAGCCATTAATGTCCCCCCAAAATCCATCAGTGTCCCCAAATGTCCCTTATTGTCCCCAATGTCACCCAATGCCCCCAAATGTCCCTTATTGTCCCCAATGCCACCCCCAATGACCCCAGACCCCCCCCAGTGGCCCGCAGTAGCCCCCACGCACTCGATGAGGTCGGAGAGGCCGCTGTAAATGTCATCGTCCCCAACGCTGTCCTCGGACGGGAATGGCCTGGGGGGACACAGCCGGACACTGCTGACCCTTGGGGAACTGGACACTGGGACTGGACACCTGGACTGGACACCGGGACTGGACACTGCTGACCCTTGGGGAACTGGACACTGGGACTGGACACCAGGACTGGACACCACTGAACCTTGGGGACTGGCCACCAGGGACTGGACAGCAGTGTCCCTCAAGGACTGGACACCAGGACTGGACACCACTGAACCTTGGGGACTGGCCACCAGGGACTGGACAGCGGAGACCCTCAGGGACTGGACTCCAGGGACTGGACAGCAGTGTCCCTCAAGGACTGGACACCAGGACTGGACACCACTGAACCTTGGGGACTGGCCACCAGGGACTGGACAGCGGAGACCCTCAGGGACTGGACTCCAGGGACTGGACAGCAGTGTCCCTCAAGGACTGGACACCAGGACTGGACACCACTGAACCTTGGGGACTGGCCACCAGGGACTGGACAGCGGAGACCCTCAGGGACTGGACTCCAGGGACTGGACAGCAGTGTCCCTCAAGGACTGGACACCAGGACTGGACACCACTGAACCTTGGGGACTGGCCACCAGGGACTGGACAGCGGAGACCCTCAGGGACTGGACTCCAGGGACTGGACAGCAGTGTCCCTCAAGGACTGGACACCAGGACTGGACACCACTGAACCTTGGGGACTGGCCACCAGGGACTGGACAGCGGAGACCCTCAGGGACTGGACTCCAGGGACTGGACAGCAGTGGCCCTCAGGGACTGGACACCAGGGACTGGACACCACTGAACCTTGGGGACTGGACACCAGGGACTGGACAGCGGTGACCCTCTGGGACTGGACACCAGGACTGGACACTGGGGTCCCTCAGAGAGGGGACTGGACACCTGGACCCTCAGGGATGGACACCTGAACCCTGTCCACTCACGTGAATCCTTTGCTCTGCGCGATGGGGGTCCAGGAGAGCGTTGAGAGCGTCTCAATCACCTGGGGACACAGAGGTGACATCGGGGGCATGAAGGGTGACCCGGACCCCTGGGTCCCACCCCCCTAGGACAGCTGGACCCCTGACCCCACCTTCCCAAAGTCCTGGACATCGAAGAGGTCGAAGGCGCCGAAGAGCCGGTGCTTGGGGAGCCCGAATTTGTCAGCGCAGGCGGTCAGGAAGGTGCGGATGTTCCTCAGGCACAGGAACTGTGGTGGCACCAGTGTCACCAGTGTCACCATCACCAGTGTCACCCCTGTCATCACTGGCACGCCCCATTGTCACCATCAAAATCAGTGCCTTCGTCTCTCCATGGTTGTGATCATGGTGGTGACAGTGGCACTGCCAGCATCTCTGTCACCAACGCTATCATTGTCAACCCCGTCAACATTGCCTCCATCATTGTCGTTGTCATTGTCACCCCAATGCCACGATTGTCCCTGTCCTTGTCACCCACTTGGTGCCATCACCATCACCATGATTGTCACCACCACCAGCATTGTCATTGTCACCCCCATCACCATCATCACTGTTGTCACCAATGGTGGCAGTGGCACAGCCATCGTCTCTGTCACCAACGTTGTCATTGTCATTGTCATCCCAACGTCATTGTGGTGGCACCAGTGTTCACCCACTTGGCGCCATCACCATCACCATGATTGTCACCACCACCAGCATTGTCATTGTCACCCCCATCAACATCAACACTGTTGTCACCAATGGTGACAGTGGCTATCATCTATCTCTGTCACCAACGCTGTCATTGTCACCCTTGTCCTTGTCATCCCCTCGGCACCATCATTGCTAAGATTGTCACCACCGGCACCGTTGTCCCTGTCCCTGTCACATCCTTGGCACCATGGCCACCGTTGTCACCGTCATTGTCACCATCATCACAGTGTCACTGCCCTTGCTGTCACCAGCCCTGTCATTGTCACCATCAATGTCCCCACCATCATCATCCTCATTGTCCCATCATCATCATCATCACTCCAGGTCACACCATTCTTGTCATTGTCACCATCAATGTCACCATCACCAACAACCCCAATGTCACCATCATTGTCACCCTCATTGTCCCCATCATGGCCACCACCCTCATCAGCACCCATCATTGTCACCCTCAATGTCACCATCATTGTCACCACCCTCATCAACACCCATCATTGTCACCCTCAATGCCACCATCATTGTCACCACCCTCATCAACACCCATCATTGTCACCCTCAATGTCACCATCATTGTCACCACCAATGTCCCCATCATCATCCCCCTTGCCCCCATCATCGCCACCACCCTCACCCACACCCACCATTGTCACCATCAATGTCCCCATCATGGCCACCACCCTCATCAACACCCATCTTTGTCACCATCAATGTCACCATCATTGTCACCATCAATGTCCCCATCATGGCCACCACCCTCATCCACACCCATCTTTGTCCCCATCATCATCATCCTCATTGTTCCCACCACCCTCATCCTCACCCGTCATTGTCACCACCAACGTCCCCATCCCCATTGTCCCCATCACTCACCACTGTCACCATGAATGTCCCCATCCCCATTGTCCCCATCACCCATCATTGTCACCATCAACGTCCCCATCCCCATTGTCCCCATCACCCACCACTGTCACTGTCATTGTCACACCCCTCGTGTCCCTCCCTGACCCTGTCCCCACCTCGTGTCTCACCTGTGACATCTGTGGCCGGGGACAGATGTCCCGGGGTGGCACGGCGCGGGGCAGGAGGGCGTTGAGGAGGTGGCACAGCAGGACCCCGTCGCGCAGCGCCTGCGCCAGGTCCCACACCTGTCCCCCGGGGCTGCTGGCCCGGTGTCCCGCGGGCAGGACGCGCGCGGCCACCAGCCAGTGCGCACATTGGCGCCACACCTCCATGGGGACACGGGGACGAGACGGTGGAGGTGGCTCCTGGTGGGGTGAATTCTGGGGAGGTGGCTCCCGGTGGGGTGAATTCCTGGGGAGGTGGGTCCTGGTGGGGTGAATTCTGGGGAGGTGGGTCCCGGTGGAATGGATGTCAATGGAGCCGGGTCCCGGCAGGATTAACTTCTGTGGAGGTGGGTCCTGGCAGGATGAATTTCTGGGAAGGAGCCGATGGAGGTGGGTCCTGGTGGGATGAACTTAAATGGAGCAACTGGTGGAGGTGGGTCCTGGCAGGATGAACTTCAGTGGAGGTGGGTCCCGGCAGGATGAATTTCTGCAGAGGAGTCGATAGAAGAGGGTCCAATCATCAACTTCTGGCCAGGAGCTGATGGAGATGGGATCCCGGTGGAGATGGGATCCTGATGGATATGGGATCCTGGTGGAGATGGGATCCCAATGGAGGTGAGATCCTGGTGGAGGTGAGATCCTGGTGGAGATGAGATCCCAAAGGAGGTGAGATCCCAGGAGAGGTGAGATCCCAGGAGAGGTGAGATCCTGGTGGAGATGAGATCCCAAAGGAGGTGAGATCCTGGTGGAGGTGAGATCCTGGTGGAGATGGGATCCTGGTGGAGATGGGATCCCAATGTCACCACTCCTGTCCAGAGCAGCACCAGGTGAGGCCCTGCCTTGTGCGGCCTTGGCAGGACCTCACATCCAGCGAGGAGCCACTGGATGACCCCTGGATGACCCCTGGACAAACCTCAGCACCTCCAAACGCTTCTGGGGCACCTCCCACGGCGCGGGAGGTCCCTTCCCCCCAGGAAAGGGAGGAACCGGAGGCGCTGGGGCCCCGTGGGGCCACCACCGGTGACGAGTGACAAATGTCGGTCCCCGTCCCACCGCCACGTCCGGATGATCCTGAGGGGCTCCTTCTCCTGCTTCCCCCGCGGCTGGAGGAGGTCCGGTGGCCTGGTGGACCTCCTGGCGTGGTCAGCGCTGGTGGCCCGGCCTGGAGGGTGGCAGGAGTGTCACACGCCTGCGCCCCGGAGGTGACACAGGGGACGACAGAGGTGGCGCGCCTGCGCCCCGGAGGTGCCGTGAGGAACAACGGGAACTGGGCCCGGGGTGGTGGCTCCTGGGTGACTTCCTGTCACGGTGGTGGCACCAGGGAGGAGCTGCCACCACGGCGGTGGTGGTGACAAGGGGACAATCGGGGGACATGGGATACGGGGGAGGATCTGGGCTTCTGGGGCTTGGAGATGGGACAAGGTCACAGGAGGGTCCTGGTGGCCTGGACATGGTGGCCCAAGGGGTCCAGGTGGCCCAGGGGGTCCAGGAGGGTGTCCAGGACCTTTCAGGGGTCTCAGGATGGACCCAGGTGTCCAGGTCCTACCAGGGGTCCAGGAGGTCACCCAGGACCCATCAGGGGTCACCCAGGTGTGCAGATCCAGGTGTCCAGGTCCTACCAGGGGTTCTGGAGGTGACCCAGATCCTTTCAGGGGTCTCAGGATGGACCCAGTTGTCCAGGTCTAGGTGGACCCCAAGTGTCCAGGTCCCACCAGGGGTCCAGGAGGTCACCCAGGTCCTTTCAGGAGTCTCAGGATGGACCCAGGTGTCCAGGTCCTACCAGGGGTCACCCAGGTGTGCAGATCCAGGTGTCCAGGTCCTACCAGGGCTCCAGGAGGTCACCCAGGTCCTTTCAGGTGTCACCAGGGTGACCCAGCTGCCCATGACCTATTTGGGGGAGGGTCTCAAGGACAGCCCTCCCCACCCCCCAGCCCAGCACTGCGCCCCGCTGTCCCCTGGTGTCCCCCCAC